CTATAATCTGTTCATATTGCTCTTGTTTTGCTGACCAGAGTCTACCAGAGGAGTATGGGTTCCCCTCCTACTTCCACTTTTATTTTTTTTTTTTACTTATTCAAGTTCTTAGCGGGAATCAGGTCTAAGTAACTCTATGCATTAAACATATATTTACTGGTTAGAAGTTAGGAGAGAAAATGTAGGACTATACATGTAAGGTGTATGCCATGTGATACCAACATATGTTTCTCTGCTGTCTGCACAATGGATTGAAGGCACTGCATTAAAGTGATATCTGTACCCTTAGTGCCGAATTTGGAACATAAGTTGAACCAACAAATTCAGGAACCAGTCACATGCGTCCCATGGATACGTCTCAGGAAACATTATTGGAAAGGGGAAATTTTCCTCACATCAGATGTTTGTTTTGTTTGCAGATATAGATATGTCTAAAGTCAGCAGCAGGGACTTTCCAAACCAAATACCACATATTCTACCTCTAGTCAAAGTCACCCAAGGTATATTTGTTTTGTTGTTAAACATGCTCTCATGCACTTGCATACTAATCAAATGTGTTTTTTTTTTCTACTGAGAAATATAATATTCAGTGTCCAGTAGTGTATGGACAAAAATATAGACATTTGGACTTCAAATGTCAGTTGTTGAAAAATGAATACTTTTATCGTCACCATCATAACAAGACACAAAGCAAACACTGAACTTCCCTCTTTTGAACTTGTAATATGTTAATTTGTCAAAATCTTAGATTTCTTGGACCTAATTTCAATCTCCAGTGCACAGTGAACAGTCCAGTGGACAGTGAATGCTGAGTGTAAAGAGTTGCCCTTAATTTACAGTGAAAACAGCCTTTAAGTTATTAATTTATCATCAGGAGAAAAAGCTTTGATATTTAAATATATAAATATGTATTCAGTACTAACTGCATCCACACTTTGTTTTTATTACAGCTTCAATTCCTTTTCTGGAAATGTGCTTTCATAGAAAAAAATTGACTCAATAATTGCTTATACAGTGAGATTGAAATGTTATAGGCAAGGGTTTCTCAACCTGTGGGCCACAAAACACCTTCTAGCAGTCCGTGGGCCTGCACTCACGGGGAGACAGTCTTTCATAGTGGGCTGGTAGAGATGTATGAACAAAATACACTTGTGGGTGTTTCTCCTACCCTCCTACCTTCGGTGCAGACCAAATTCCCTGATAACAAATTGTAATATTTCGGCTTTGGATGGGTAGAAATGGGGTGAATTTTGCTTTTCTCACTTTCATAGATCCTCCAAGAACATCTTTTGCTGCCGTTTCAGGTAACAAACAGAAGGCTTGAGGTAGTGGGGGATAGCAACTGCTGCTAGACAGTGATTGGAGGGCTGGGAAAATAAGGCAGAGCTTCGCAGAGTGCATAATGCTTTTGATTGGCCATAAAGTGGTCCAAGTACTGTCCCCTGTAGAATACCATAAGTGGCAGAAGTGGGGACTGACTGCATCCCAATAGCTCTCACAGATTGCTTTTGATTATTTCAATAAGACTGAAACCATGACACTGCAAGGCCAGTAACATCCAAAAAACCCTTTTGAAAAGAGTCAAAATGTTTATAAAATGTAAAATGAGCTTGTAGTTGCGTAAGGACAACTTTACTTTAGTACTTTAATCTAAAAGACATCTTTTTTCCAGTCCAGTCTTCTGCCCAGACCAATATGGCAGTGACGTAGACACACAATCCAGCAGCCAATGAACTATCTATGTGTACGTGTCTACGGTTAGCAGTATATCCTTGGCTGCATTATCAGCAGAAGGGAGAAAGGCTTTCAACAGAAGGAATGAGTGCTGCGTTTTAAACCTGCCAATCTGATATTACATTTGAGCACATAGAGATGCATTCAGAGCATCTGGATTGCATGTAGCACCTGCCCCTTTGTCTGAGAATTAAAAAAAAGTTTCAAAGAATCTTTCTGATGAGCTCTAAATGCTTAATATTAACCTCTTAACATTCCAGGCTTATTACATACTAAGGCTTATTATTGATTAAAGTGTGCCATCTTGATATTAGTATCATACTGCATTGCTTCTATACTGTCAATGTTTTGTTATGACATTTATCAACAAATACAAACCCAATTCCAAAACAGCTGGGACAGCATGTGAAATGCTAAAAAACAAAAAGTAGTGATTTATAAATCTACCTTAAATGTATTTAAACAAAAACAGTACAAAGACAAGATATGTAATGTTTTATCTTACCAACATGTGCTTATTCTGAAATTGACGCCTGCATGTTCCAAAAAATTTGGGACAGGGCAATTTAAGATTAGGAATGCTGTGAAATATATATAAAAAAAAAAAACATTACTCAACAATCTGGTACTTCACCCTCTACAGTTCATAATAACCTCTAAAGTTTCTGGGAATCTTGAGAAATCTCTTTGTGTAAAGTGAAAGGCTGAAAACCATGAATGCCTGTGACCTTCGACCCCTCAGAGTACACTGCATTCAAAACCGGCATGCTTCTGTGATAGATATCACCACATTAATATTTTGACTAACCATTGCCAGTGCATACCGTTCACTGCTGTATTCTCAAATGAAAGTTAAAAATGTAAGTCCAAAGCTTGTTTGGGCTCAAGTTCGTCTGAAATGAACTGATGCACAGTGAAAACTTGTATTGTGATCTGACATGTATTGTGTGAAGTCAACTTTTGTGATTGTTTGTGGAAATAGACATTGTGTGCTCCAGGCCACAGAAGTAAGATCTTTCTCACTTCACAGAAGATCTTGCAGATTGTTACCAACGTAAAATTCAAAAGCTATGGACCGTCATGATGCAGGGGATATTAGTGGGTAACTTGCACATTTGTAAAAGTACATTAGAACTTACAAATCAATACTTTCTCTTGTCATTATATATAGAATGTCCCAGACTGTCTGAGCAACATACCTCACCAAATGTAAGCTAACATCACTGCAAGTTTTGAAGTTGATGCTGTACTGAAAGCAGCAGGCAAAAAAAAGATCAGACACGAGAAATGGCAACATGATTTAATACAATAATTAATTGCGTTTTACTGTGGACACAAACCAAACTGTACATGCCCTCGAGGGATAGTTTGAAGTTTTACACAGGTTTTGCACAGCACATTGTGGCACGGCGGGGAGAGGGGCCAACGCCCACTGACTGGGAAACCCAACGAGAGCTCAGAGACACACACACAAACACGAGCGCGAGTGAACTAAAGAGCTTTATTTACACATAATCAAGTGAACAGATTAAATCCAGTACTTTTTTCTCTCTTTTTAGTCCTCAGCTCTCTCTCCTGGTGTGTGGCATGCAGGTCAGCATCCTCCTCCCCTCATTAGCCACAGCATCAAAACAAGGGAGAGGGGCAGCTCGCACGTGTGTGGGGGTGTGGCCACGGCGGCTCCGTCTCTCCACCGCCACAACATATTAAGGATGGTATTACCCTAACTTAACCCTTTGCCAAGTCATGGGCTCATATGTGGGCCCAAAGTTCTATTTCACACTTTTATAAACTAAGAAAAGCTCCATTAGTTTGCTTTGAAGTCCCTGTAGTTGAGAGTCTTGGTTCATCAAAAAATGACAAAGCTTCATGGCATTTTAATCTAACCTTGACCCCTTTTGGAGTATGTCTTTATCCTGTGTACCTGTTTTCACAGCATACCAAGAAAGGAGACCGGAGAGAAAGCCTCAGTGCTATACTTTGGCAAATGCTAATGTGTTACCATGTGTGTTGCTCATGTGTGTGAGAGAAAGTTTGCAGCTGTAAAATGAATAGCGAATAACGAAATGCTCACCAACACATATCATCCATTTATTTTTTTGTTTAGCAGTAGCACAACAAGAACAGACACCACAAACACATAACCAAATGCTAATGGCAAAGCTCTAATCACAGCAGGCTTCCTTTAGAATTTCATCATAACACAGCACTGGAATGGTAACCAGAATCACACATGCCTAATGGAACGAAATTAAATGAATATTAATGTCAGACTCCTTTTTAACAAACCCACAATGCCATTACCACGGTTTGGAAACAACTGTTGCAGGGTCATATGGGAGCGCTGTTACTGTTATCTTCAGTTTTCTTTTTATTCCTGTACCATCCATCATTCTACCACAGCAAGTTCTTGTGAAATCTCTTGTGAAGTAAATAGTTCACGAGACATAATAAGGAATTTAACAAGCAATATTTATAGTAAAAAACACAAAATAGTGCTTATAAAAATCAAGAACATGCCAAGGGCTCTCATTAAGCCAAGCATTAATTTCAGTTCAAACATAGGCCCACAAATACAGCATACACACCTTATACAACAAGTAACTGACAGATATTGAGTTGTTTTTCAATTTCCAAAAGAAAAAAATCAATAGATTTTATTGACTATCGTGGACTTACTCGTTCTAGTTGAAATAATGTTTAGTTTATAAACCATTTATGATCCTAATCTTTTAATGAGACACCAACTGAACAATCACAAGTGCAAACAAGACTGAGAGACATAAACCACACTTTAGATTCGTTTAGACAAAACTGAAACAGTCATGGTTATAATTTTAATAGACAAATAGACAAATTTGCCCATTCTGTACTCTACAAAAGTAACTTCTACTTCATTACACACAAAATGATGATTATTTGTTATATGTCTGACACATAAAAGAACTTACTGTTATTTTGATGGCCCACTATAGATGCTTTATAGAGGCTCAGTCTATCTTTAATTAACATTTAACTAAATGTCTATTAACGGAACTTGAAAATAAGTGTGTAAGATTCTATAAAAACTTAATACTGACATTAACTTTGACCCTAAACTTATACCTACTCATAACCCTGACCATAATGTTGTAAATAAAAATCAATTGACTATCACCAGTAAGATTGTTAAGAAGTATCTGTAGATCATCTATAGGGGAACCTCAAAATAAAGTGTGACTGAACTTACTGACTATCTCTTTTTGAAATATTTATATTGATGTTATACTTCACTCATCACATCTTTCCATGCTTGGAAGTTTTCTTCTCTTCAGTTATGTTTTTAATCTCTTTGAGCAGTTTCTCCTTGTTGTTCTTGATGTTTAAAGCTGCTTTCTCCAGAAGTTTGGTGATCATTTCATGACTGTAGCTCATTTGAATGGTCTGATATGTTTTCTCCCACTTCTCAACTTCTCCTGTGGAAACAGACATTTACTGTTTAGAGCACTGCTGCATTTCTGTCACTTCACAATATACACAGTACAATCAGAGGGGAACCCTCAGGGCCTTCTAACTTCTAATTTCTAATCTTTATTCTATAGAATCATGCTAAACTCTATTGTCATTTATAGGATGGAAAGAAAAGAGTTAAATTCTTCAAATGCCGAGCAGAAAATTGACCAATCACGAATTATTTTTCTCTGTGGTATTCAGGTAAATATAGCCAGTTAGATTATAAAGGAGGAGACAGGTCACTGGTTGAAAAATGAATGGGAAATCTTGTAACACTCAATATGTCTGCTTATGGGAATTTTCCTGCCCTTCAAAAAAATGAGCCAGTCAGCTTGCTGTCAAAACCTCCCTTTCGTTGCAGAGATCTGCATATTTGCAGTAGCCAGAACAGGCTGAAAATTTGTGTTTTGTGTGTTATTTGCGCTGAATGCTGCAAACTATTTACACAGCTTTGGTCAAATATCAGCAGTGATTTCAAATATGTTTTTGAAACATTCATGTGGCTTTTAGTTTCGGTTTTATATTCAAAGAGTAAAGAGTCTGGTCTTGTATGAGTGGAAGTATCTGCCCGATGGGATTGCCAAGATGGCTGTGGAGTGGACAGACCTTCCTATAATGACTTTGGTATAACTAAATGAGCTCTCCTACTGGTGAACACTTCAAGAGCTAAAGAAATTTAACACATTAGATGAACTTTCACTGGCCTATAATAGGAAGTGGCAGAAGAATCAATTAGTCATGCTTTGATTTCCAATGGTGGGACCAATTTTGTTAGAAATAAACATTTCTTACAACATTCTGGAAGTCACTAACTGTATATGAATGGCAGTCTAATCAATGGGCTGTTAGAAATGGAAACTCTTTTAGAGCTCACTACTGAAAGAGCTACTGTGAAACTGCTACAGTAAAGTTTATATTAATATGTCTGTCACAAGCTTGAAGTAAAACATGGAATGTTGTATAGAAACTTCAAATGTCTGTGTTTGATCTAGAACTGCTCTTTTTCAAATGTTCTGTCCCACCTTAAATGCTACAGCAGTTACATTCTAGTGCCAACAAATTTTCCATTCCACCCTAAATCGCTGCAGTATTTACATTCTGGTGCATTTAGGCACTGCTGCATCATTTAAGGTGGAACAGAAAATTTAAACAAGTCAACTTCAGCTTAATCAGAAAGTGTTCATGAGAATCACCATTAGCTTAGCACTAAAAAACTACTGAAATCCTATAGGGCCACTGGCAAAGGTTAGCATTACTGTTGAGGTAGATTTTTTCCTCATGTTTTGGCCAAATTGAAGGCCTAACTCTAATAGTGACAGTTCACCACTGAGTGCAGGATACTAACATTACAGCAAAAACAATTATATACAAGAATGTTTATTTTCAGTAACCTGGAGTTACCTTTGCAGTTAACGGCATTGAAAAGAGGGATGTGGATCACAGTTGGAGCTTTGCTGTATCCTCTAAACACATAGAAGTCCTGTGGTTCTGCATCTTCAGCAGGTACAACAACTTCAGGGAAAGCAATGTGAAGATCTTTGCACAATTTAGCAGTTTTAACCACCGTCTGCAAAAAAGAACCAATTCTCTATTAAATATTAACTCCTGTAAATACACTGTGATACAGTACTATGAAAACAAGAAAATCTATTAACACGAATGAGTGGAATAGGGCAGAGTGTTGTTGAAATGTGAAGTATTGCTTTTGTTCATCTAAACTACATTTTTGTTAAATAAAACCAGTTAAATTGCTTTTACCACATGAAGTAATTGTTTTAGGTTGAACTGTCAATTTTCACTGTTGTCATTAAGTGACTGATTTGTTTGTCACTATGTACTCTATAGTCCATTAACACTTCTATTGAAAGCTGCCACAATTGTTCACTGTAATTTTAGTGATATATAGCTTAATATGAATAGCAGCTGAAATGCTAGTAAGTGTGGGAATAATGACAAATCAAATCTCTAGAGGAGCAGATTCCTGTAAGGTTCCTGCCAGGGATAAAGCACCTTTTAATAATACATATAGTGTGAAGACCTATTTAAAATACAAAATAGTAATAATATCTATTTGATTCTCTTGGGAAAAAGTCAGTAATTTCTCATTAAATGCTGTTTGTTTTTAATTTTCTAAACACCATATTACTACAAAAAGAGTTTAAAATCATAAAATCTTCACATTTGAATTGTAAACTTTCAACTTTGCAACTGATGTTGGCTGAACAATCAACAACAGTCATAAGTAAAAAAAATAGACTGCAATTTTTCCAGGCCAGGAAGGATTTTCCTGTTTTAACACACCACCTAAACCTGGGGATTAATAGACGAATTGAACCAAGGGTGTGAATTATTGCATGCTTAAAATGACACAGGGTAAAAAAAAAATATAGCAAACACTCCAACTATGTCAGTGTGTTAGCCAGCTATATCCTTGTGAAATTACAACACACTTTTTTTCACCTCATGCTTCAGTGCATTTTAAAAGGTAAATGTTATGTTTGTTGATCGTTAGTGATTTTATTAATGCATTCCTCACCAGGAAGCTGAGATATCCTCTCTGCTTTCCTTAATTTTGCTCTGATCTTTAATCTTGTAGTCATGCATGGGGTGCAGATCAGTCAAAATCAAGGAAAGAAGATAAGAAACATTCTTTAAACTGTTCTGAACCAGCCAAAAGTTCTTCTAACTCTTATTTCTAGTTTCTCAATTAAGGAATCAATTTGTTTCCTGCTCAGTTTCCCACTGACTCCGGCCTCTGAGATACGGACAGCTATGCGATCACTGGGGTTCAAACTCTCTATGTCCTAATGTTGAGTTGAATGAAATCTAGTGTGTGTGTGTGTGTGTGTGGGCATGCATGCATGTGAAGTACCTCAAAGGGATTTCCTGCACTGTTGTCAAGGGAAATGATGAGGTCGATGTCTCGTTCTTTTCTCAGCACTGAGAAGTAGGGTGAGTTGAGTAACACTCCAGCATCTTCGTATTCTCTCGTCTCTGAGTTAAGGATACTGGGGTCGATGTCTTTCTCTAATAACACAGGAACAAACAATACTTTATAATATTTTAAAACAGAAATATTTTTTTTCTCAGTTTTTAAATTTTTTTTTGATTTTTGGAAGTCATCTGTGTTGAATGGAGGGTGAGCTTTAATTCAGCTTTTGTAGACTGTGTCTTAATCTAGGATTCTCTCATCTGTGATAAAAGGGTTGTTTTCTATATTCGAATGAGAAGACAGGGTAGGGGGCTTCATTGCGCTGTTGTGTATAGTTCAAAAAAGGCTGCAGTGGACCACAGCATTGTGAGACGGTCTAGCGTCACACAGCAGAGCTGTAGAATGCATATGAACAAGCTCAAGTTCATTGTTCCACTCTACTCATTTACATTTAATGAAATAAAACTTTCAGCATCACTAATCACATTTTATAACCAGCTAACTACTTTCATTAACTCGCTGTTTTCAAGCTGAATGATATGACGTGAAAAAGGACTAGGCTAGTAATGTTAGCGGAGGTAACAAACCCTTCGCTGTGTACACTGGAGGCTACATGTGATCTACTTTGGCTTTCTGTTGTCTCAATATGGTACTAATTTTATGTACTAATATTGAGTAGTGCACTCAGAAACTGAACAGTGCTCAGCCACTGATCATGATCAAACAGGATGTTTCCTAGTGTTATGGGTTTACATTTACAGCCCTTTTTCCATGTGTATGGTGTTTTACTAATGATGCATTCTTGCTGACTTAGTAAACACATGGGAAATTAGCATTATTAGACAGCCTAAACCAACACTAGAGACAAGAACTGACTCTGCGGAACTGACTCTTCTAAGAAAATCCCAACAGCCTTTTGAACAACAAAAGCTTTTTTGAAAGAAAAATACACCAACATAGCAGAGACTACAAATTTACATGACCGTTTCTCAAAAGGAATATACAGCAACAAGCAACACATATGTGAACTAGAAAATAAAATGCAGATTTTTTAGAAAGAAACGGGTAAGAATTTGCCTGCTCTCTTTTTACTTTCTGTCTATCTTTCTTGGCTCTCCTTTGAAATCTCAATTTTGGTTTCATTTTAATAAGGTAAACCTGGTGAACAGCCATGAACTGCCATCTATTCCCAACAATGTACCACAGACACGATAGATATGCGTGCTGGAGAATCAAACTTTTATTTTTGAGGCAGTTGGGGAGGGCGTCAGGGGGGATAATGTTAACAACAGGTAGATAAGCAGAACTTAACCCCTTAAAATCCAAGGCTTATTACATACTAAGGCTGTCTTCTGTCACATCATCAATAAACACTAGTGACCCAGTGCCATTGGAAGCCATGCATACTCATGCCATCACACTGCTTCCACTATGTTTTACTGAGGATGTGGTGTGCTTTGGATCATGAGCCGTTACAAGCCTTCTCCATACTTTCTTCTTCTCATCATTCTGGTACAGGTTGATCTTAGTTTCATCTGTCCAAAGAATGCTGCTCCAGAACTGGGCTGGCAAAGTCTAATCTGGCCTTTCTATTTTTGAGGCTGATTAATGGTTTACACCTTGTGGTGAACCCTCTGTATTTGCTCTCATGAAATCTTCTCTTTATGGTAGACTTAGATACTGATACACCTACTTCCTGGAGAGTGTTCTTCACTTGGGTGGATGTTGTGAAGGGATTTTTCTTTACCATGGAAAGGATTCTGCAATCATCCACCACTGTTGTCTTCTGTGGACATCCAGGCCTTTTTGAGTTCCCGAGCTCACCAGTGCGCTCTTTTTTTCCCAGAATGTACCAAACTGTTGATTTGTCCACTCCTAACATTTCTGCTATCTCTCTGATGGATTCCTTCTTTTTTTCAGCCTAATGATGGTCTGTTTCACTTCCATCCAGAGCTCCTTTGACTGCATGTTGTGGGTTCACAGCAACAGCTTTTAAATGCAAATGCCACACCTGGAATCAACTCCAGACCTTTTACCTGCTTAATTGGTGATGGATTAATGAGGGAATAGCCCATGCAACCCATGAAATAGCTTTTGAGATAACTGTCCAATTACCTTTGGTCCCTTGAAAAAGAGGCAGCTACATATTAAAGAGCTGTAATTCCTAAACCCTTCCTTCAATTAGGATGTGAATACCCTCAAATTAAAACTAAGGAGTGCATCTGTGTGTGTGTGTGTGTGTGTGTGTGTGTGTGTGTGTATTTATATAGCACATACTTCATTTTAATTCTAGTCAATTTCCCACCTTTCATTTTGTAGAGGAAGTCATAAGTTGTCCCCCAGGTCCAGCTCGCAAGCAGTTCCAAAGATCTTACAATGGCCCTCCACATATCTGACAAAATAAGATTAAATGAAAAAAATGAGGCTGACTCCAGATTTCTAATACAGTCTGGGTTTAGACTACAATAACTAGTAAAGACATTAAAAAGATTCTCATGCCATTTAAAGAAGGATTATTGCACTGCATTAATAATCATATACAAAACATGACATCACAGCAGTTACACCAGTTTTTAAGACAAAAGGCAGAGAATAACTGAATGTGTCTCTTATTATAAACTTATAGGATAATACTAGTTAACTGAAACACAAAACACTGTCAGGGTTGTAATAATAAAACACAGAGCTAAAATGCATTTGTGTCAGGCACAGCCATCATCGGAGCCCGGGGGACAAGCACCTGGCACAGCATGCAAATGTATAAATCTGTTTCAGGAAAAGGCACAGAGCACAGGCTTGTGATTTAGTATAATTTAATCAGTAGAAGAGTCTGGAGTGCATTGTTTTGAAAATGTATCAATAGAAGGGTTCCACTCACCAAACCGAGACCCCAGCCCCTGAAGCTTTTCTTTGATAAAACTGTAAACACGCTGGGTGTAATTCTTTAACTCTGTCTCTGAGATTTTCCCTTCTGATGTTGTCTTCTGTAGATCAAAGGTCAACCTTACGATTCCATCACATTCATCTAGGCAAAAACAATCATATAAAATAAATACATATAATGATTTAAATGTGTGTGTGTGTGTGTGTGTGTGTGTGTGTGTGTGTTGGGGGTAGTTATACTGTCATGTGTTATAAAATATGTTGATGAATACAACCTTTTGGTAGGTCCTCTATGGTACGGAGGTCATTTGTAGGATCCTCCCCTCTTAACACACAAAGATTCAGGTTCACAAGTGCTAAGAGTGCCTGCTGACCTTCCCTCAGATCTGTTGTTCGTACTAAATGTCTTTCTTCTCTGCTTCCACGTATGTCTATTTTAGGAAAAAATAATGAAAGAAGTGTAAAGAGACACTAACTTTAACCCTTTCCTTTCTGAGTAGAAAGCAAATACAACAAACATACCATTTAAACTAAGAGAATCAGCTCTTTACAATGAGGTAAAGCTGAGTATAGCATTTAAAACCCATTTCTGTGCAAGATGGAGAAACACAGAATGTGTGAAACATTGCTTATTATTTTGTGACTCATTTAACATAAAAATCAGAATAAATGGATCATCTAACATTCAGAACTTACAGTAAATTTAGTGATGACTGACATAAATTATTAATCACTAATTTCAAAATCCATCAAAACATCTGCTACAATAACAACAGCACCATACTGGCATTTTATTTTAAATCTCATATTGTATAAAAAGTGGGTGGTTGTGTCACGCATCCCTCCCATCCTCTGAAGCCTCCTTGTACTCCATTTCCCAGAACCAGCTGGGGAATTACCTGACTCCTGACCCTTCCTTACGCTTCAGTCATCGCTCACAGTCTCCTGAATATTGATTGGTTCACCTGTTGCCTATAGTTAGTGTTAGTATAAAGCTGGGCTTTTAGCTTTAGTCATTGCTTCTTTTCACAGCGCTACTGAGCGTTTCATTCCCTTGTTGTGCATTTCTGGTTCTGACTGTATTCCTGTTTTTCGACTCTGCCTTTTTGCCTGACCCATTTTGAACTGTTTGCCGGTTGTTTTGTTTGTGTTTTTGTATTTTGTGTCTTTTTTGGACCTGTGCCTGTGTATTGACTACGGTTCTGGATCTCGACTCAAACAGTAAAGCCTCTCTTTCCCTTTTTACCCATGAGCATCTGACTCATTCTGTCACATTACAGGTTGACTATGGTCGGTGGTTGAAGGTTGCACAACATAACCTGATTTAGTATCCAGTAACTAAAAGAGTTACACTCTGTAAAGGAGGAATAAATGAACAGATTAATAAACTGAGAGAGCTTCATACCTTCAATCTGCTGTTTTAGTGCCTCATAGAGGTATGTTTTGTTCTCTGCCATATCCGCGATGGCACTGCCACAGAGACCTGTACAAATTCCAAAAAGAAAAAGAAGAAAGAAACAGTCAGCCAGATTACAGCACTGAGAAAGCTCTGAGAGAAAACGTCAGTGTCTTCACAACATGACTACAAAACCGAACACACTTTTCCTGGCCTTGACTAGTTACCGTGCTTTGTGTGAAGGCATTCCAAGCCTGTTGTTGGTGGGCAATAAGGATTGTGTTATGAGCTAATGTCACCTTTTTCACAGAGAAAAGGCTGGAATTTCAATGAGACGTTTCAGACAGCTAAGAAAAGTGGTTTCTGTGGGTGAGTGTTACTCCCTCTGGTGTGTAGGCTGCTCTAGGCCTTATAACTTTGCAGACTGTTTGCATGAATAAAAAGCTATTGACCACACTAAAGAAAGGGAAAAAACAGACAAGCATAGTTGGTCCACTTTAAAGACAAATGCAGTCATACACAGAATAGCATAAAATGTGTCAACTCTGCTGTCTTTTGGTATTCTTTGTCTTTTGGTACTGTTGTATTCTGCTATTTTTGTTTTTGTTATTGCTCCAGTAGAATTTTGATGTTAGTGCTTGTAATGTTTTGAACCATTTTAGTTTGATTGAGATCTTGAATAAGCAGTTAACCTTCAGTAGTATCGTCATTTTAATTGTGGTAGTGAGACACATTATAGAAATTTGTAAGGTCATCCAGCAATTAATGAGATCTTCTGTTGTTTTAATAATGGCATGACGTTCAGTTGGAATAATTCAGACAGGCTGGAGGAGTATTTTATTTTGGTTTGTGAAATTGTTCATAGTGAGAGGCAAAGGATGATTCTGGGATGCAACATTCCAGTCAGACCTACATATTGGCAGTATTGCAGATTTAGTCAGATACTTGAAAAAAATGGTGAATTCTCTTGGTAACTTCTTTGATAGATTTTGTAGGGTTTTTTCAAAAAGAGTAATGCCTTATTTGTATATAGACTTATCTTGTGAGTGCTGTTTTAGGATGAGATGCCAGGGGTTTGCTAGGGGTTCCATACTGATGAGAGTGGACATCCTTATAGAGTACCACAAAACAGTGCAAAGATTTATGAAGTTATATCATTAGTAATGATAGATGCCATGTGGAGTATAATATTTTTATCCAGTGTATAAAAGATTTTCCAAAGCCAAATGTATGTAACACACAAAAAGATTCCCAATTTACCTTGTTACCGGATTGTGTTTTTTTTTTTTTTTCATTTGATGTGTTACCTCGTAAGAACAGCATATCTGTCTCAGGCTGCTTCTTAATCTCCTTTCCATTCTCAAAATGACTTCCCAAACAGGAGGAATCCACAAAGACTCCAGAGAGAGAATAACCTGACTCTTCTGGAGTGATCTCAAACCAGACATCTACAAACAGAATTTATTGTAAGTTTTCCATGTTATGACATACACACACACACACACACACACACACACACACACATGAAAATTACCTGCATTCAGTCTATCATATTTACACTGCTTGTCAATCACAGTGTAAATGGGATACGGGTCATTGGTGTAGTTGCCTCTCTGCTCTGAGAGTCTGTGTTCATCTATCTGTGAAATACAGAGAATACAGACTGTTACAGTAACATCCTGAAATCTGAGACCACTAGTGAAAATGCTCCTATTTTTTTTCCAATTTAATACACATATTTTCATTACATGACCACCAAAACAATTTGAGTGAAAAGTAGAATTTTTGAAATTTTAATATGAATTTCAAATTTTTTAGTATTTGGTATGCCCCCCCTTTGGCATTAATGGCAGCAAGCACTTGAGTTGTCTTGGACTCACAAGTTTGTGCAAAAGATGAGTAGATCACATGCGAGGGTATCTCATGTGAATACAGTAACTTAAAAGTAACTGCAAGCAATGCTGTGTTTAAAGGAAAGAGACAAAACAGCTAGAAATCGCTGGCTAGTCTGTAGTTTATATAGCACGTATGTTAGGTAGCCAGCATATTAGCTAATCTAGCTGAAGTGTTAGTGCGATTTAAAAGGGTGTGAACTGTAACTTACTAAAACTTATAATAGGTTAGCTACTGTGCAAGCTAACATACTTGTGATCTAACGTGTGCTAGCAAAAGCTGAAGTGCATTTACAGAGGACTTTCTGCCCAACAGACTAAAGTGTTTTCTATAATAAAAGCAATGCCAGATCTGCCTAATGAATTACTTACTGCCAGCTGGCCCCCTAACAAATTCTAGGTTATTACTGTACCATTATGTTGTCTAAGATGCTTGAGCATGACAAAACATAGACATGGTTTACCCCTTTTACACCAGTGGCTTTGACTTTATTTGTTAATCCAGATTTAGATTCTCAGGCTGTGATTAATCTAGGTTTAGATACTCAGACTTATGACTTACAGTGACGTTACCGGCCCACTATGAACTACGGTCTCACCCTGAGTACAGGCCCACCGACCACTAGGGGATGTTTCGTGGCCCACGGGTTGAGAAACCCTGGTTTAGTACCTATTAAACCTGAAACAGTCTTTCTAAACTTCACTAATATACTTGCAGCACAGGTGTATGCCATAAGTGAAATATTAAAATCTTTAAATTTCGTATTATTTTTTGAAACTGTGTTCTGTGATTTGTTTGGATTTGTATGAGAGTATGAGAAGAGATATAAATTATTCTTACCTCCTTCACCATGTTAGACACAATCAGCGCTGCCCACACATCTGTCATGCTGAAGTTGTCTTTTTCTGTATAGTATTTCACCAGTTTTTTACCCATCTCTGAACAACTGACTTTGCCTTCAGCAAGCCTTCGGACAATGTTATCTTTCAGAGTCTCCAGTTTGGTGGACCAGTCTGGTTCTTCATATAATGATGCCATGCACCTTCAGAGAACAGATGGACAAGACAGTGTTGTAATAACAATAATAATAATAATAATAATAAGAAGAAGAAGAAGAAGAAGAAGAAGAAAAAGAAGAAGAACTGATGTTATCAATAATCAATAGACAAAGATGCAAAATTACCAAAAGGTAACCCCTTAAAATCCCAGGCTTATTACACACACACGCATGCGTGCACACACACATATATTATCTAAGCCGCTTATACTTCTGGGTCGCGGGGGTGCTGGAGCCTGTCCCAGCAATCATTGGGTGGAAGGCAGGAAACACTGGCTGAGCTATGTTTAGGTTATAAAAGTGTGTAATACAACTTTGGGCCTGCTGGCAGCCCCTGGCCATTTAAGTGGTTAACAAGTTATATTTTTACACTGGACCTGTTCTGATTAAAGATGGATTGGTCTATTTATTTGTTTTATTACTAATAAAAATGATGTAAAAAATGTATTACTAAAAAAAATTGTGTAAATTTGTACAACATGATAAGTGTATTATGTGTCTGAGAAAAACTGTTTTTAAAACTGTAGAGTTAGGCAGAGGTTTAATCTGTGTTTAGACTGACCTTTTGTCAGTTATTTTGTAAGACCCTTCCCTACACCACATTACTCTGCCCCCATTTCTGTTTGTTCAGCTCAGAAAACTTGCTAGAATCTGGTTAATGACCTGCCCCACCAGGCTATGGTACTGTGGGGAAAAACATGATGCGCTGCCAAAAAACTTAACAACAAACATGCTACAACAAAAAACTACATTGGAAGCGCTTTTCACCAATGGAATTCTTCCATGAGAAGGGGATAGAGTTGGATACAGAATTAGCGTCGTTCCTCCTGGATAGGTATGAAAATCTTTACCACTCAAAGATCTAAGTAATAATGTTTTGGATGAACCATTGTGTTCATAGGTGTGTAACTTCACTCTCCTGGACAAAAGATACATGGAAGTTTGATGCTTGTTCTGGCCAAATGCCATTGCTATACAAAGAAGTATTTGGAAGGTAATGAGATAAAAAAGAACTCTGAATAAAAATCTCTCTGAATAAGTGAATTATAATGGCTTATCCTGTAATTTTAGTCCATTCTTTAGCAAGCAGTGATTGTAATGGGGTGCTCTAAACAAAAATAATCCATCACTAAATTTAATTCCCAATCCAGCCCTGCAATTAAGTAATTCTTAACAACATGTGATTGAGAAGGCAGAGGTCATGCAGTGGTAACTAGGCAAAGTAGTCTAGCTGGTGCTAGTTAAAACTAAAAATAATGAAAAGATTTTTCTGTTTTCAATATTACTTTGACACACCATCCACTCAAGAAGTACACAGCTCTTGTTAGCTCTAGTGTTAGTGCAACCTCATTAGCTTTTCTGAAGGGGTATGTTTTTAAAGGTACACGAGATGCTAAGTATTCATTTGAGGTAATTTTTCTTTTACCCTGCAGTTGAGTTCATGTTTGTGTATAATGAAAAGTTAATATTTGTTGATAAGCTCATTTGGTCTCTTCCCAACGATTCTTCTGATATCCGTTCATTAACTTTTCCAGATATTTGAATATCTAAATTGGTCTGAAAGGCTATCTTAAATATGTATTTTCTAGCCTTTTTATTATTATTACTGTCTTATATTAACACCATGAAGCACATAAACCAAATCATAAAGTCTAGATATTTATAAATATGTATAGTCCAAATTAATGGACCTAAATAAGTAATTGAAATATCTGTTTTGTATCAGTACCAGGTAGATCCTGAAACTCCACACAGGTACATGATGCAGTCCAGGAGTCCATCTTCTTTCAGCTGACTAAGTGATCCCAGCAGTCCAACCATAGCTCTCAAACCTCCACCAGAGCCCAGCACTGCGATGTTAGGTACCTCATCCTGCCATCATTGAAACACAAATCCTAAATACAACCCCATTTCCAAAAAAGTTGGGACGCTGTGCAAAATGCAAAATGCAATGATGTGCAAATCATTTAAACCTTATATTTAATTGAAAAAGTACAAAGACAACATATCAGATGTTGAAACTGAAAAATGTTTTTGTTTTTTGAAAAATATTCTGAATTTCTAAAATGTGATGTAGAATGAAATGTGTTGCTAGATGCATATAATAATGCAGTTGTTCATAATGCATCTGGTATTGAGGAATCTTACAAACTCAAATAAGGAATTATCTATAACAATTATAGCATTGCACTAAACTACAGTAGTATACTATATACTGTAGTATGATGTATTGTAGTATATTATAGTAGAAGTGCTTGTCTTTTAGCTGCTGGGATGCATCTCCACCATCAGAACTCACAGCTCTTTTAGAGAGAATTTCTTCTTTCTGTATATTAATGCCTCTTCATTTCAAATTAGCCAGTTTGAGGGTGATATAATTTAAATGGAAAGTCATAGTAACTCACAAAATAAAGCCAGCTGTGCTAACTAAATTTTAGTACATGCTGCAGGTTTTGCATGCTCCTTAGTAAATCTGGCACTAAAGCTTACATATTAAAAAAATATGATTTACCTCACTGCAGAATATTCCAAGCTGCTTCAGGCACTGTAGAACAGTCTCTCTCCTTTTGGCCAAATGCTTTTTCTCAGCTTCATTCAGAGAGTGACCAATTCTCACTTCGCTGTTACACACACAGGAGTGGTTTCAATACAAGTGTGTAATAAAAGACATAAACAGTTAATACCTTTCATTTATCTGTGACAGCTGCATGTACTGAGATTCAAGTGTTTCACTGTTAGTTTTCTACATCACTGACTAGCTTGACTTAGTAGAACCAAACTTCTTTTCTAAATCAAAAAGATTCAAGCTTAGCCACAGTCATTGTAAAACGTTAGGCAGAAGCACACAAAAATTAATTTCAAATACTTGCAGTACAACAAACAGTGGAAAAAAAAAAAATGTTGTAGGAACCATGCCAACCAGTAGGTGTCACCACCACCTGAAATGCTCAAAGCAAGCTCCCCTCAAACAGGCGTGTCCAGTAGCAGGTGTTAAAAGACCTTTCCCAACAATTCTTCTTTCTCTCCAGCCTTTCTCTCATAAAAAGGGTTAGACCTCTAAGAGAGAACCCCTCCTCCGTTTGACCTTTTTCCATTGTCTGCACCACATGGACAGTGCAACAGAGAACAAAGGAACCAGTAGGCCTATCTTGGACTAGTTTAACTATTTCAAGTTAATTCAAGTCACTGTAGCCTAAGCAGCTGATCAGCTGATTGAGAATACTCAGTCAAGCTTGTGAAAGGTGGTCAGAGGCCTTGTTAAAGTGAAGTCATCAAGTCTTTAATTTGAAACTGCAGACAAGACTCTTTGTCTGGATCAACTTCCAGAGAATTCGACTTATTTCCAGTATTCCCAGTACCCTGGATGACATCAACTTTCATCCACCAAGGGACAGTGAGAATTATTTGGAAATAAAACGTGTTTGAATCTGATGATCCTTTTTGGGAAATACTACATACATAAGACAAAATTTGGTAAATTTAAGCCTCACCTCAGTGTTTTAAATGTTTTCTTAGTTGAATTTTATGCCTTAGCAGTAAAAAGCTATGTCTACTAATAGGTATATGAAGGAGTTAAGTTTGCTGGAAGAATGAAATTGTTCATTATAGTTATTTTGTTTTGTCCTTTTCCTTGTGTTTAGTTGATGTTGTTGAATGTATACGTCTGTTGTGATCTTTAATATGGATGTCCTTATTTGTAATGTTATATGCATGGTAATTAAAAAAGAAAGCTCTCTCTTACTCATTGGCACACAGGCACTCTCTATCTCTCTCGCTCATGCGCATGCAGGCGCTCTCTAGCTCTCTCTGAATCATGAGCATGCAGGCACTGTCATTCAAGCTCTCTCATTCACGCATACACATTTCATTTCATATTTCTTTTATTTTCAAGTAGTCTGTTTTGACATCATTGAAATACTGTTTGCTGAGTAAATCAGAAATCATATTCATTGGTACTACTTTCATTAGTTAGAAATTACAGATATTTGAAATTTGATTATATATATAATGCATAAATTATGAGACTGATTTATGAAGCATGACATATTATGTAGCAAACCCCCCCTACATTGTTCATAATTACAAACTCTGACATTCTCTAGCTGAACAATCATTTTAAAAAGGCAAAAATTACCTTTCAGAAATTCTGCTCTTGTCCATCTCTGAAGAAATGGGGTAAAAAACAAATGTGAGAAATTATAATTTTGTAAACACATTTCTTTCTCCATTAATGTAGTGCAGTAATTCTGCAACACAAGAGTTGATGTTGTGTTGCAACAAGTTGCATTCTTGTTTGATATAGTGTCATACTTACTCAAATTATGCAAGGTAAGCGTTAAGGAACACTTCACCACACTGCTGTACAGTATAAAAAAAGAAAACAGGATCATTATACTTTACTCACTTACAGGAGAGAAAGTGAAACTTAGCAGAGCAGAGCAAACTTTCCAGTAAATTGTTGATTGAGAGACTGGTGTGATGGTAATTACATGACCCATTACTCATAATATAAAATCTACTAATAAATTCAAGGGTACAACACTGCCAAACTTGTTGAGTCCAGAGATCAACTGTGAGAAGAATTTCTCATAAATAAGCAAAAATGAGATTTTATCTTTATGACGGAAATCTGGCTTGATTCAAACAGAGCAGCTTTTCTTTATTTAAACCACTCCATAGATTTACAGCCCCATTTCCAAAGTAGTCGAGACGCTGTGCGAAATGTTAATAAATACTAAATACTAAAATACTATGAAAATACTACAAAGACAACATATCAAATGTTGAAACTGAGAAATTTTATTGTTTTTTGAAAAATATATGGCAATGTTGAATTTGATGCCAACAACACATTCCAAAAAAGTTGGGACGGGGGCATGTTTACCACTGTGTTCCATCACCTCTTCTTTTATCAACGCTCTGTAAGCATTTGTGAAATGAGGAGACACTGCTGTAGTTTTGAAATTGAAATGTTTTTTTCATTCTTGTTTGATATAGGATCTCAGCTGCTCAACAGTTCGGGGTCTCTTTTGTCGTATTTTTCATTTCAACGTTTTATCAGTGGGTGACAGGTCTGGACTGCAGGCAGGCCAGTTTAGCACCCAGACTCTTTTAATATGGAGCAATGCTGTTCTAATACACGCAGGATGTGGTTTTACATTGTCTTGCTGAAATAATCAAGGCCTTCTCTGAAAAAGATCCAGTGTGGATGGCAGCATATTTTCCCAAAACATGTATATATCACTCAGCATTAATGGTGCCTTTACAAATGTGCACGTCACCCATGCCGTGTGCACTAATGCACCCCTATACCATCATGAATACTGGCTTTTGAACTGTGCACTGATAACAAGCTGAGTGGTCTTTAGCCCAGAGGACACAGTGTCCATGATTTCCAAAAAGAATTCCAAATGTTGATTTGTTGGACCACAGTTGGACACTTTTCCACTTCCCCTCAGTCCATTTTAAAAGAGCTCAGGTGCAGAAAAGGTGGAAGGTTTTTTCTTTGCATTTTAGAGTTTGCATTTGTGAATATAGCGATTAACTGTTTTCACAGACAGTGGTTTTCAGAAGTGTTTCTGAGCTCATGCAGTGATTTCCACTAGAGAATCTTGTTTTTAATGCAGTGCCGCCTGAGGACCCAAAGATCATGGTCAGCAAATACTGGTTTCTGGCCTTGTCCCTTGCATACAGAGATTTCTCCATATTCTCTGAATCTTTTTTTGTTATTATGTACCATAGATGATGAAATCCCCAACTTCTTCTACTTGCTATTTTATGTTGAGAAATTCAACATTCTGGAATTGTTGCATTATTTGCTTGTGCAGTCTTTCACAGAGTGGCGAACCCCTCCTCATCTTTACTTCTAAAAGACTCAGCCTCTCTGAGATGCTCTTTTTATACCCAATCATGTTACTAACCTGTTGTCAATCAACCTCCAGGTGTTTTCTGTTGTTGGCTTCAAATTCAAAATATATTTTTTTAAACAAACAATAAAATTTCTCAGTTTCAAATTTGATGTGTTGTCTTTGTTTAAATGATTTGTACGTCATTGCATTTTGTTTTTATTTACATTTTGCACAGCGTCTGAACTTTTTTGGAAATGGGGTTGTATATCATCTCTCAGCTACTTGTCATATGTCATTTGGTATTTTTTGCATCCTTAAAAAAGCCTGTCTATAAGATCAAGAACCAGTCCTGTTTACCTTCAAATGAATATCACTTTTTAAAAAGAAATCTCTGTTAGTCTAATTGTCAGTGTTTGAGTTATAATGAATGTAATAAATTATAAAGTTGTTTATAATGTCCATTAATGTGACAATAAGGCTTTTGAGAATACCTCTAAAAATATTTTACACAGTTTTTTGAAATGAGGCATGTTTTCAGATTTCAACATTACTGATATCAGGCCTTTACTGAGGTAGCACAACCTTAATTCTTTCAACTTCAGGCCACTTTTACATCAGAATAAAGAATATACAATCCTTATGTAAAATAACAGAAAACACAGGATTTACATAGGCTATTTCATTGTAAAACATTTCAAATATTAGTGAATTAACTTATTTACTTAAGTTAGTATTTTCTTAGTTCTTGCTTTTTCACATATACTGGTCTTTCATATTGCTATTATTTATATATTTCATCAGTTGTTTATTGTGAATTTTTGCTTTTTTACATAAAGACACATTCTTTAATGTTCTTTTTGCCTTACTCTGTTTTATTTATGGTGTTTTGCTGTTTTATTTACACCTGCACTACAACCTGAATTTTTAAGCATGAAAGGTAAAAAAATAACAAAGTTATTTAACAAGGCAAAAAGAGTACAATAAATATCTAAACTGTTCTATATCTAAATTGGATTTGCAGTAATTTATCTGAAATAGAATATTTCCCTAATTAATCTAAGTAATTACTAATTATATAACTGCTGTACTTAGATATCTACTGTTGGCATAAAATAACTTAATGAGAAGTACAAACCTGCACTTGGAGATGCTGAAGTCCTTGTCAAATGTGAGGGCTTTAAAGAAACTATGAATTTATAGTGACTGAGCTTTGGGGCATGGCATAGCGAAAAAGGAAATACTTGATATTGGACTGGGGCAGAATGTCACATGGGGCAGGGTGGGGGGTTTAAGAGAAAAAGTTAGCAGTTACCAAGAAACTGGTCATCGGAAATGAGTGTAACTTTTGTAAACATGCCAATCTGATATGAAGTTATATACACAACTTTGAGAATGCTGAGTTACATTCAGTGAGAAATTATGGGTGTAGGAGGAAAACAGATCAGAAAAATCAGAGAAGTAGATGATGTTGCAAAGACATTGCACCACCAGTGCTGTTGTGACACTAACGCCTATGTGAATGCACAGTGGATTATATAATTGTAAAAGAGGAAAAAGGGCAAGGACTTAAATGTTTTCTCTAGGTAACGTGTTTTTTTATTATTGCAAGTTTGTTATCCACATTCAAAACCTCAGTTAAAAGTTGGTTGCTGGGTTGGACACTAGGGCGAGCTCTAGAAACTCTATAGGGACTGGGCTAACCCTCATGAGTCAAAGAGGAAATGGCCTGTAAACCCTAAAGCTACATTTTTTACAACTCTCCCTTTGTTCTCCTTATTTCAAGGTCAGTAACACTGAGTTCCTGTTGTATATGTGCATCACACTGTAAAGTTGTGAAGATCATTTACTTTTGTGAATCCTGTAGAAATATGTTGAATATATGTCAAAAATAATAGTTTACATTAGTTGGGAATGTGGTGGCTAACAGCTTGCACCAATGCTACCTGACACCTCACCTCATCAGATACTTGTATACCATGGCCAACGCTGAGAGAAAGACAGTTGCTTGGAACATCAAAAAAAGCCTGCATGCCCTCACAGCCAGCGAATTGTATAGCGTAGCTGAAAGCATTAGTCAGGTTACAGATGGGGACTTGAGCGCTTTAAACGCTTCTGTGAAGAGAGCTGTTTTGTGATTACATGTATGGAGATGAATTGCTTCAGCTAGAAGATCAGGGAATCTCCTGCTTCAGTTAAGTAACGTTGTTCAGCAGACCATACAGAAACGCTGCATACATGCCACAACATCTACTACTCAACATGTAGACATGGAACCTGTAGTTTCTCACCACAGTCATGCAACAGGTTCAGTGTCAGGTGAAGCAAGCAGTAGAATAGTTCATCAAAACATCAGTAGCCCTCCTTTCCCTAGTCCAATTAACACACACACAGTTAGTGGACAGTACACTCAATCAGGCATGATTGCACTGCAAAGAGTTTAAGATCCAAGGGGGGCAAAAAGGTGATATTAACTCTGATATAAGCTACAGCAGTATCTGCAGACAAATAGGTGAGAGAGGGCGACAGTGAGATTGAAATCATCAGGAGCATTCTCCGCATTGTTAATCCAGGTACTTTCAAGGAAATGCTTATTAACAAGGAAAACATGACTCTCGCTGAATTAAAAAGCTTTCTTCAGTCACATCTCAATGAACAGAACAGCAGTGAACTCTTTCAAGCCTTGATGTGTGCAAAGCAGCTTGACCAGGAAACACCCCAGCAGTTTCTTTGATGACTTATAGGATTGCGGCAGAAAGTACTTTTCGCTTCAAAACAGACCAATGCTGACATAACTTATGACCCTTTGACAGTGCAGTGTGTGTTTCTCCATTCCCTTTATCAGGGGTTGGGTATTAAATTTGGAGATGTACGGCGGGAGTTAAAAGCTTTTCTCTCTGACACGTCTGTGATGGATGAAGAGCTCTTATGCCAAGTGACTCAAACTATGAGTGATGAAAGCGAAAGACGGGGGTTTGGGCCCCACTTCAAGAGCTAGGTTACACATATCAGCAGTTTTCAGTTGGATCATGAGAAATCAGGACAGGAAGCGTCATCCAGTGCCACTACTTGAGCAATTAAGGAGCTGAGCACTCAAGTAGCCTCTTTAATGAGTGCAGTTGATGCATTAAGGCAGCAGCCACAGACGCAGTCATGCCAATGCCAGTGTTCACTAGTTAGCTCCCAGCCACAAAAAAAAGAGAACAAGAAGAGCTCAGAGTCAAGGGTGCACCGAGCAGGGTGTGGTCATCTGTAGCCATTGTTATATCTGTGGAGAAGATGGGCACAGAACAGTGGGCTGCCTAAATAAACAGAAGAAAGCGGGAAACTGGAGCGACTTTTACCCTGAGTCTACATGCTACATCAATGGGTTCAGTGTAAGTGTATTATTGGACACAGGTGCTCAGGTAAGCATGTTGAAGCAGACATGGAGGGAAGAATATCTGCCAAACCACAGGGTGAGGCCACTTGCTGAAATAATGGGTATAGAGGTGACACCCTGGGGAGAAACAGCTGGTTTTCTATTCTTGATCAAGGGAAGTCATACCACCAAGGCTTCATGGTTGAAGGCTTCCACCATATGACAATGTTTGTCATGCCTTGGGGACTATATGAATGGGTAAGAATCCCATTTGGCCTCATGAACACCCCGGCTGCCTTTCAACAGGGTATGGAAGAGATCCTCATCTCCCTACGGGATGAATGTTGCCTCCCCTATCTTGATGATATCTTGTGTTACGCAAAGACCTTTGAACAGTATATAGAGGGGCTCAGATATGTCCTCAGAGCACTTAAGATTCATGGAGTGAAGCTGAGACTGGCTAAGTGTGAGCTTTCCAAGCGAGAAGTTCGTTATGTAGAGTCATTATCATTAGTGTTGTCTCTGAATAATGATTAGGTTCCTACCACAGAGAAGGGCACGATGTTTTAGTAGAATCCTAGGCAATCCCATCTTTGATTTTTAGTGTGATATTTTAAAAAAGACAACCTGTATTTCCTTCTGGGGATGATTAATATAGACTTACTGAGCACTTTCTGAGCATCATTTATTGGGGCAGTCGTAGGCTGGAGGTTACAGAACCAGCCTTGTGACTGGAAGGTCACCAGTTCAATCCCCTGAGCCGACAGTATGTGACTTGAGCAAGGCACCTAATCCCCACTGCTTCACTAGTGTGTATGACGGTGTTTGACTGCACAGATAGGTTGAATGCGGCGGTGAATTTCCCTGTTGTGGGATTAATGAAGATTAAAAGTACTTCCCATTAGCTTCTGTTACAAGACTGTTTTGATTTGTTTATGCATTTTCTGTTCTTCTTCTATCTAAGCAGATATGTGTCTAATTCACAAACATGGCTGGCTCTAGCCTTCTGCGGGCCCTAAGCAGGATTTTTTGACATTCAGTCATTATGCTGCCTCACCCTGTTTGGTTTTGATTATGGGCACTACTAACTGACTGGTCCCTTGTGATCGGAGAGACTTATTAGGTTTGATCAGCAATGTATTTTGGTCAAAGGCCATTCAGAGATTTATATAAAATTAATGATAAAGGCTAACTAATAACACTGACTACCACAAACTGTCTCCATTATGTACAATTATAAATGGCTAACGTGTATTTCTGATGATATTTAAATTACAGATAATCTTCGCAGCATTCTCCATCCAGTGGCCTGTGTCACGATGCAGTATTTCTTTCTTCTTCAGCTAACCTTAAACTTAGCTGGACCCTACTCTGGTGGCATTGACAACGGCATTGCTTTTCACCATTATAAATGTTTTACTCACTACCTGTTTAGGTAATATAATTTCTGTTTCCTTCTATGGTGACTCCTTCTCATGTTTCACATGATTGCTGTTTGTTAGAAATGGCACACTTTCATGGACGGCTGGGCAGAAAGCCTTAGAGGCCATTCGATTGCCTTTAATCAAAAGAGTGTTATTATAATAATTTCAAGATACCATCAGTCAACCTTGTATTGTAAATAGCACTGCTGTCAAGTAAAAATATCACAGTATACTGATTGACAGTGATTGAAGCTTTTTAAACGGAATTAGTTTCCAAGGCACAATGTATCATTTTAACGGCATAATCTTAATTCTCAGCAGCTGGCAGCCAATAAAACGTGATAAGCTAACAAGCACAACAAACACATGGGTTAAGTGACTAAAGCCTGCTACCACAAGATAGGCTGTAACAGAAACACTTTTCCAAATTGGACGATGGCAAAACGACAATAAAAATCCCATAAAAGAGACCACTGGATTTACTAGTTGCCTTAATTATGTTATTCCAAATTAATTTTAAGTCAGACTCAAACCCAAAATAAAATGAAAAATATGGAGTGTTCCAATCAGGAGGCAACTGTCTAAGTAGGCAGCATTTTAAGGCAGCATTTGCACACTCCCGAGAAGAAGGCTGTCCCATTCGGAAGGCAGCATTAGGCAGCTATCTTCTAAGGTGCCTTAATTTGACCAAATCTGAAGGCAGCATCACATGTACCCTTCTCAACGAAGGCAGTCCCACAATACTGTTCACCTCCTCACCAGCCGAGGGTTCCATTGCTTCAGATTGATCAACATGGCGGACAAAGTGGCCTTTTCTGACGACTGAGGAGTTTACAAATGTAAGTTATTTCTTCACTTCTGTCTTTACTGTTTTGATTGATTGTTGTATTTGTGTAAATTATTGAACATGTTTGCGTTTGTTGATCTGTAGAAATTGTTCCTGTGGTAAATTTTGGCAGTTCGCTTGTCTAACACGACCTGGCAGGCTGCATTTGTAGCTAACTCATTAGGTGAAGCTAATGTTAGTTAGCTAGCTGTGTAAACGCGCTGGCTCTTTAAAACGTGAGAGAGACCAAATTAAAATATTGGCTGTTGACTGTTAAGTAGCGTCTTTTATTTGTAAATAATTTATCGGTTTGATTCTGTACTCAGAGGTTTTTTCTGTCCTCAGGAGCTAACGTTACAGCAGTGGAGAGGCACTGGCTGAGCAGCTGAGAAAGAGAAGCAGTTATGGAGAGAAAACTGTGCTGAATGACTGAAAGCAGCTCACTTGCCGAGCGTATTTGGGGAAAACATGGGGGAACCAGCACTGTAGACTGACATTCTCCCTGAACAATGAAAATTTACTATACATGCCATCTTGTCTACTGTTTCAGTCTCAAGATTTAAAACACAGAAAAAGAACAATATTTATTGCTA